TTAAAGAGTGATTTGGTGACAAAGTCCATATCCACATTTTATTTTTTCAAACGCTTATATTCTAAGAGCAGTATAATTAGCCTGTTTCGTAGAGTCTTAATCTTGTTGGAATAATGTTGTTCAAATAATTTCTTCAGTTTTTGTCTTAACATATCCAAAGATGGAAGATGATGACAATCTGGGATATTCAACATGATGTGAAAAAATTCTTCCCACACATCCAAATGAGGAAGCCTGAAGAGACAAAACCACAATGGATGAAATGGCTTCAATGTGCACAGAAACCTGTTCCTCCATCTACATTCCACAGATGTAGGCAGGTTAATAGGACAACTTCCTATTTGCAACTAAACAAACCAAGAATAGAAATATGGGATCTATTAAAATTCAAATATATCTTGTTCCAAAAATATGATTTAAAATAGCTTTTTAGCAATATCTCTTCAGTGGAAAAATTACGCTAAATTTTTTTCTTTTTTTTTCCTCTTTTAAAGAAAGTCAATCTGCTTTTGGCTTGTTGTGCATACCATATTGCCAGAATCTGATAATCTGGCTCCCTGAAACCTAACTGCATATGTGTCAAAACTGATTAGATAGGCTGCACTACCAAGAAGAGTTCCAGCCACTTACAGCAATTAAAGTTAACTGAAAAAAAAAAAACCCCTCCAAAACATGGAGAGAAGGGCTTGGGGAGAAAGCAGAACACACTAAAGTGGTACTCTAGGTGGAAACCGAGCCTCTATCATGAGGGGTTGCAGGATAGCTTTGGCCTTTTCTACTGGTGGCAATGGATGAAAGCCTTCTGAACAACCATCTAGTTCTTCATTATGAGCAAGAGAAACAAAGAGAAAGAATTTGCTGAATTTGATGACTTTATACAAAATAAAAACCATACCAAAATCTGGGCATGGTGGCACATGCCTTAGTCCCAGCATGTGGGAGGCAGAGGAAGGTGGCTCTCTATGAGATTGAGGCCAGCCTGGTCTACATATTGAGTTCCAGGCCAGCTGGGGCTATTGGGATAGCCCATCTAAAAAAAAAAAACCAAACCAAACCAAATGAAAACCGAAACCCAAACCAAGTTACCCTTACTAAGTTTCCCTTTGGGACTTGAGTCTAATACTGTACACTGTACATGATATTTATAAAAATTCTGCCAACTCCTCTTTTCTGTTTTGGAAGTGGTTGGGGAGAATGAGAGAAATCCTCACTAAATTTTCTCAATGAAGAATAAATATGCATAATTCCACTAGGCTATACACAAGTACACTTTTCTGTATGTTTTTATATCTCAAAAAAAGTTAGCAAAGTATAAAGATTTATAGAATATGCATGTATTGCATATTTGGATTCAATAAAGTATTGCCAGTAGGATATTCAGAGTGTTATGTTGACACTACACCAATCATTAATCTTTAAATATTTTATAAATAAATTTCAGTGAAAACTAAAGCCTATGGGCTGGACCTGAAAACCCTGTCCTGTAATAGGAAGCTGCCCCATTCTATTTATAATTTACAAAGCACCTTCACCTACATTATTTCCTTTTTCTTTAAGATTTGAGCAAAGTAGGATGAGCATTACTGTCATGTATATAAACAAGAAAACAAGCAAACAAAACCCTGAGGTTGGTTGACATTCAGTTTCCTATTAGTTAGGAGAAACAGTCATGTGTCCAGGATATCAACCACATGGCTAGGATCTTTCAATGATTTTGGGAAAGCACCGACTGTTAGGCTTACTCACTGCCTAATGGCAGGACTGTGCTCTGTCACCACACTGCCCAATACTTGGGCTTTCCATGCAATGGTAGAGCTCCTTTTTTCAGCTAGATAAAATTTATTATTTTGCCGTATTTACTGTTTTTTTCACTGCAGCACCAATGCTAATAATCTACCTTCTAAAAAGACCTTCAGGTTTCCAGACTCCGCCTTCATTTTTTACTTTCATGTAAGTACCAAAGAGCATACAGTATACTGATGCAGCAACTCCAAAGTAATCAACCTATGAAGAAAACAGATATATGTGACTTAAATAGTAACTTCTGTGTGAGTGTATTAAAATATATCTCCAACTTAGGAAACAATCTAAATAACTACAGGATTTTACTTTTAAAGAATTTTTAGGCAGGGTGTGGTGATACACGCCTCTAATCCCAGCACTCAGGAGGCAGAGGCAGGCAGATCTCTGTGAGTTCAAGGCCAGCCTGGTCTACTAGAAAAGTAGACCAAAAAGACCAAAAAAGAAAAAAAATCTGTTCAAGCTCTGCCTGAGGTTTCTATGAATGGTGACCATTATTATCTCTGAAGTGGCCCTTTGGAAAACTCTGTATCTTCCTTTCTTGAGCTAGTGACCCCCCCCCCCTTTGTTTTGCCATTTAGTACAAATACAACACTCTAATAGCTTGGAGATTCTTCCAACTCCCTCCCTTGGGACTCTGGTGGTCATTGTATGGCTGCACCCCAATGCCTCTATGTGATATGTTCATAACTGAAAAGAACATTCTAGTACGGTCCAAATTTGTAGGACAGCAGACCATCTACATCCTTATCTCCAGCTCAGCATTCATACCACCTGAAGCTTGACTGGCAGCAACAGACTAGATAAGGACCTCACTTGTCTACCCTTTACTATGGGTTCCTGGAAGCCACAGCTCTCACCTGGAAACTGGGCAGCTGGTTTTGTTGACCCAGGCTCAAAAACCTTTATAACTATCCTAATTAGTAGTATCCTCTTTACTTGTCAGCTGATAATCTCTCTTGTTAAAAATTCTGAAAGTTTCCTTTAGGTTAACAGTGATCCATTTCTAATACCTCTTAGATCAGGCATCACATCCAGGAGTAAGTTGGATTACACTATCTGTAACAATCAAGTCAGTCTTGCCAAGGCACATAGAACACTTGCTCAATTCTGCCTAGGGTTGGTTAACCCTCACCATAAAGGAAACCATGCTAATTAATCTGAACAAAGCTGACTCTGTAGAATGAATTCCTTTCTAAAGGGTTCACGAGTCATTTAATAGTTTTTCCTTAGGGTCAAACTCATAAAATATATTTGCTTTCCTTTTCTGTTAACAGAATCTGTAACAAGAATGAGAAAGGAATACTCATCAGAAGTAGAATTTCATCTTCTCCTTTAGTCTACACCCCACCTCTCCTTCAGTTACTCAAGAGGCCAGTTCAAACTGTTTAGACCCCTAAGTTAATTATGAAAGTATGGTAAAGGTAGTAAGGAAATGCTTTCAAACCTCTTGCTTTCCTTCCGTACCTGGTAGTTCCATGACTTGCCACTGAGCATCTCAGGACACTGAAAACCAGAAGTTTCACACTTTGCTGTAAATGTAGTTCCTTTCGGGAAAAGTTTCATATCTATACTCTGACCAAGGTCAATCAGTGCCAAGCCAGCACCTAAATCGTCATCTTCACCATCTTGTTCCAAAAATCTAGATTAAATACAAATAAGGACCAGGATCCATGAGCACAAATAACAAAACAGTATCAGTGAAAAGTTAGGGAAGAACTCCACTATACATATCATACTTACCTGTTTCCCAGTATGAAGTTGTCTGGCTTAATGTCTCCATGAATGATTTCACAATTGTGGACTTGTTCAATCATAAACAGCATTTTGATAGCAAAAGAGATGACGAGAGCCTGGGGCATCACTTTCTCAGGGGTATTTTTATAGAGGTTAATGGCATTCTAAAAATAATGCAAATGGTATCTTAAGTTGGTTCCATAGGATTAATGAAACTTCAGTTCAAGGGCTCTAAGAGCCCTACTCTCCACTCCAACAAAAGGTCCAATTATGAAAATACATGCAAGGTACAAACGAAAAATACACATAAATTTCAGATTCATATCATAAAAGTGAGACACTTACTAATAATGTTCCATAGCTATAAAGTTCTCCTACTAATATGCTGCCATTCTGGAATAAGTGAGCAGAATAAAATTTGATAAACATGTGTCGTACTGCTGGCTTCAGTCTTTCCATTAGCTGAGTCCCAATGTAGAATTCCCAAGGGTTGGCAGGCCTCTGAACCTGCAAATTGAACCATATGTGTGACATCCATATTCACATTCTGTAAAAGGATAGCAAGAAAGCAACCTCTTCCCAGTAAAGGATGTAGGACAGAAAGTGATGACAAGCAGTATGGGGGCTTGCGATAAGACAATTTTAGTGGTGAAGTAATTCTGAGTCCTTACAGGATAGTTGTGCTTAACTGTTGCCTACAAACCTCACTGAGAATTACACTTTTAAGGGGAGGGAGTGGGTGGGGCGAGACTAACCCAAGTTCTGAAATTCATCTCTTCACTATACAAAAAGCTACATTTACCTTTAAAACACATTTCTCTTTACTTTTGGTATCATTTATATCTCCATGAGTAGCTTCATAGACTTGAGCAAAGGCCCCTTCTCCAATAAGGTGATTCACATAGACCAGCGAAGAACCTTGGAAGATAAGATGTGGAACTTGTCAAAATGACAAAGAAGCATAAGGACTATCAAAATGAATTCTTGATGCTTGAACTACTTTATTAAGATGGATATGAAATAATCCCCTGGGATATGCTTTTCTAGAACTAAATGAAAGTATAACAAATACTTGCCATGAAAGAGCCCCCTTGGCAAATTCTCTGTAGGAGAGCAGCAAAAGCTGTTCTGATGGCCCAGTATACTTAGACATGTGCCTTGCCCTTCATAATACTTGTGATGCCTGTTTGCACAATTCTTAAGATGATGAGAAGAACATGGGGTATCTTCTGTAAAGCTTTTTGGAAAATGTACATACTTTAGAACAGAATAAAAAGGGGGAAGCATAACTGTACCAATATTTGTAACAGTTTAAAATGTTCAAGTGAACTGTGTATTTTAGAATAGTTTTTAGAGCAAAGATATAGGGGTTCTTCACATTCTGCACTTAATTTCCTCTGCTGTTAACTTTCATATGTTATTCATAACCATGGTAAGTTTGGCATTAAAAAGAATAATCAGAGGTATGCTACTGCTAATTAAAATCCATACTTTATATTTCACGAGCTTTCCTGTGTTCCAGTATACATATTTAGAATCATTTCTCCTTAGCTGCTTCTGTGCTATGACAGCATCTTGCCTTTTCTTGTTTTCTATAATCTTGACAGTAATAAAGATCATTGGTCAGTAGGATGCAGTAGGATGTCCTTCAAAGTTGGCTTGTTTTATATTTTTTCTTTTGGTTATTGGTCTTGAGGGAAAAGACCAGGGAAAGATGTAAAAGTTCTTAAATTAAAAATCTTTTAAAGAAGCTGGGAGTGGTGGAGCACACCTTTAATCCCAGCACTTGGAAGGCAGAGGCAGGCGGATCTTTGTTTGAGGCCAGCCTGGTCTACACAGTGAGTTCCAGGATAGCTGGGGCTACAAGGAGACCCTGTCTCAAAAAAAAAAAAAAAAAAAAAAAAAAATTATAAATCATTTTAGATTAACAAGAAAAAAGAAACCCGAACAACTGAAAATCAACAATTCTTATAGCCACCAGAAAACTAGACATGAGGCCATCTCCTTCCACAAAACTGGGGAGATACACAGGATACAAAGAATCACAGCTTGTCATAGCAGAAGTCTATGACATTAGGAGATAGTAAGGAGGGATTACAGTGGGAAGGACTGTATGTCTAAGACTTTACTAAGGAAGTCATCTAGATCTAAGGAAATCCAAAGAAAACAGGAACTTGATCCCTAGCAAGATAAGCATAAACCTCAGCCATGCGTGGAGGCTCACACCTGTAATCCTAGTTTGAGAAGCTGAGACAGGAGAATTGTCAAAATGTGAGGCCAGCCTAGGCTACATAGTAAATTTCAGGCCAGTCTGGGCTAAATGAGACCCTGTCTCAATAATCAAACAAGAAAGCATAAATCTCACAGTAAAGCCTATTTATTTCAGTTCCTATTATATCAGGTCTATCTTGCAACAAAAAATTATAAGACACATTAAAAGATAAAAACACAGCTTGGGGGCTGGAGATGTAGCTTAGTAGTAGCACATCTCACCTTGTGTGTGGCCCTGAGTCCAATTCCCAGTATATTGCAAAATCCTAAAACCAAACAACTAACCAATCAAATAAACAACAACAAGAAAACCAACAAAACACTGCTTTAGGAGACAAAGCAAACATCAGAAGCAGGCACAGAGATGGCAGAGATTTTAGAATTATCAGGCCAGGATTAAATATACACAGACACATACCTGGGCTCTAATAGAAAAGGGAAACAATGCCTAAGACCAAATGGGTCATGTAAAGAGACAGAGGGAAACTCTGAGAAGCAAAAGGAAATGTTAGAAATAAAAAAGCTTCACTGTAAAAGAATGCTTTTAATGAATTCATCAGTAGACTATATGTGGCTGGGAAAACAATCAGTAAGCTAGAAGATAGAGCAAAAGGATCTTTGAAGACTGGAATTCAGAAAGAAAAGAAAAATAAAAAAGAAACAGTATTTAAGAACAGTGGGACAACAACCAAAAGTGTAACATGTCCAGACTGGGAATGCCCAAAGGCAGACAGAAAGGACAGAAGAAACATTTGGAGTAATGATGGCTTAGAGTTTTCCAAAATTAATGAACCAGATCCAGGAAGCTTAGAAGACCTTAGGATAAGTATCAAAATTCTGTATCTTATCATATCTTATTGAAAATACAGAAAATCAAAGACAGAAAAAAATTTGAAAACAGCTAGGCAAAAATATCTATGAAAGAAGAAAGGATAAATACCTCAGATTTCTCCTCAGAAACCATATTTTTTTTTTTTAAAAAAAAAAAAAAAGGGAGTAAGGGGCTGGAGAGATGGGTTGGTGATTAAGAATACACACTGCTCCTGCAGAGATCCCAAGTTTGGTTCCTAGCACCCATATCAAATGGCTCATAACCACTGGTAACTCAGGTTCCAGGGGGATCGGATGCCGCTGGCCTCTTGGGGGCTCCAGCACTCAGGTGCACATACTGACACACAGACACATAATTAAAAATAATAAAAAGAAATCTCTAAAAAATATTTTATTTATGTTTTGCATACAAGTGTATTGCTCACATGTAACTGCACTTGTGTTGTACAATACCTGTGGAGGTAAAAGAACCATTGGATCCCCGTAGACCTGAAGTTACAGATAGTTGTTAACCACCTTAGGATAAGTCAGTGTGTGGAATCGAACCTGGGTCCTCTGCAAAAGCAGCCAGTGCTCTTAAACACTGAGTCACCTCAGCCCCCTCCCCCCCGGAGGGGTTGTGATGTTAAAGATTTATTTATTTTTTAATGTATATAAATGTTTGCCTACATGTATGTGCATCATATGTGTGCCTGGTGCCTGTAGAGACCAGAAGGCGGCACTGGATTTTCTGGAACTGGAGTTAGAGATAGTTATTAGCTACCATGTGGGTACTGGGAACTGAACTCAGGTCCTCTGTGAGTCATCTTTCCAGCCCCATTATAATAAAAATAAATTAAAAAAAAAAAAAAAGAGAAGTAAAACTAGTTGAAGACTCGAAACATACATACCACTAGCCAAGAATTCTGCAATGAGTAAAATCATTCTGTGAGAATAAAGACTTTCTCATACAAAACTTAAGGGAACTTGTCACTAGTACATCTATACGGCAAGAAATATTATAAGAAATTCTTTAGAGAGCAACTATGTAGTGAATGGATATAAATATGGTTAGTGAAATGATTGACAGTAATATTCTAAGGAATGGGAGGGAGGAAATGATAATATTGTAATGTGGTACTTGAACAATCTATGAAGAGACAGTGCTGTTTGAAAGTGGTCTCTGATTAGTTATAACTTACAAACAACAGGGCAACCAATTAAGCAATTTTTTAGAAGGTGTGATTGATATGGCAAGAGAAAATGAAATATGAATATGAAATAACTCACTTAGAGCCAGAGAAGCGTGAAAGAAAAATACACACACAAAGAAAGAGGGTAGAGACAGCCTGAGAGGGTGGTTTCGGACATCCATCAGTGTAGAGGCTCTGATCTCAGCAGAGAGTGCCAAGGTTAAGGCAGAGGGCCTGAGATCCTAACAGACAGCCTGAGAGGGTGGGTTCGGACCTCTATTGGTATAGTGGATCACATATCAGCAGACCACCAGAGATTGCCTAGTTCTGGCCTCCCTCTGGCCTCCATCTAACAGAGGGCCTGAGAGCCCCCATCCTGCCTCCAAGTGGTGGTGAGCTTCCCCCAATTGCGCCATACCCACCCCCCCTACCATTTCCTGAGGCCCCCTCCCAAGGCCCCAGGGCAGATCTGGCTTTTGTAGGCTAAGGCTGAGAGCCTAGCAGACAGCCTGAGAGGGTGGGTATGGACCTCCATGGGTGTAGAGGCTCTGATCTAAGCAGACCCCCCCCAGAGAATGCCAAGTTCTGGCCTCCCTCAGGCAGAGGACCTAAGAACACAGGGGACTGCCTAAGAGCCCCGGGATCCTGCCTCCAAATGGTGAAGGAAGCCTGAGTGTACCTGACTGGAACCTGAACTGGGCTTCTGTGGGTACTCCTGAATGGCTGATCTGAAGCCATCAGTTCCCTCTAAAATTAAACCTGAGAGAACCTGAACCCTGTAACAACCAGCTTTACATAACCAAAGGATTTAGGCGCCCGGATAATACAAACAGAAGCATACTTCAACTTAATTATCATATCAGAATCATAAACAACAAAAGAAATTCACATGCCAACACCACAACAAAGGAATAATAAAATGGAAAGCCAAAACACTATGTCCCCACCAAACTCCACCAATCCTGTAAAAGAGTTCTACAAGGAGAAACCCCTAGAGATAACCTTGGACACTGAATTTAAAAGAACAATCATAAACACGATCAAGGAATTAAATGAACTTAAAGAATGCACAAAAACAAATCAAGAGCTGAAAGAAGATAGGGATAAACTTCTGAATGAATTCACAAAAGAGATAGAAACATAGAAGAAAACTCAGAAAAGAAGGAAGTGCAAAACTCAGTAAGACAACTTGAAACACACAGGAGAAAGCCTCACCACTAGAATGAAGGAAATGGAAAACAGAATATCAGCACTGGAGGATAAAGTTAAGAATTGGACCACTCAAGCAAAGATTATAGAAAATTTTTAAAAACACAGGAATGGAATATGCAAGAGATGTGGGACACCAGGAAAAGACCAAATCTATGGATCATAGGAATAGAGGAAGGAGAAGAATTTCAGGTTAATGGTGTTGACCAGATCTTAAACAGGATTGTAGAAGAGAATTTTCCAAAATTAAGGAAAGACATCCCCATACAAATACAGGAAGGAGAGTACTGAAAGCTGCAAAAGAAAAACAACAAGTCACATACAAAGGAAAGCCCATCAGAATTACAGCTGACTTACCAATACAAGCTATAAAAGCCAGAAGAGCCTGGACCAAAGTATTTCCAGTTCTACATGACAATAGATGCCAGCCCAGAATACTTTACCCAGCAAAAATGT